TTTTTTCGCGTATTAACCTGATTTGAATTTTTTTAGTCCGATCTTATATCTAAACCTAGATCCGTCTCTGACCACTTCTATTCACCTTTTGAATTTCAATGCAGAGATCGTCATTTTCTCGAATGGAGGAAATTATGAGGACATAAACTTTCTCATCATATCAACAACATATATCCATATTATTGCTGCTATCATAAGTCTCAATTGCATACCAAAATCTTTAGGTAAAGACTAATTTAATTATCTCATTGCTTTTTCAAAATTTCCTGCTTTATCTGCCTGCTAAATTATTATTCAATGATAATGTAGTAATTTTAATTTTTTTCATGAACCCACAAAATATTTTATAAAATTTTAAATCTTTTCTTGCATTTGGGCTTTTGCATAAAGCCACAAAGTAACAAAATTGCAACTTTTGGATACTCCCTCACTCTAAAAAGTGGATTTTTTGTTGAGATTTATCCCCTTTATAATTGACTCATCCTAGGATTGTATGCAACTTTATCGTGATTCTTTTTTTTTTTTTCTTTTTCAAAATTTTGTATATCTATGCAATGCATTTGTCTTTGTTTTGACTATTAAGGCTATCTTTTAGAATTTTCCAAAAGAACCAGAACGAACTTTTGTTAACTGTAAGAAATTGTGATGGTCATAAAATAATTTTTTAGCAAAAAACGACGACAGCCCAGAGCTTGTTTTAATTGGCTGCATTTCTTCTTCTTCATTTTTTTTTGGTCTTCGTCAAGATCTAGTTTATCCACGTGCAATTCAGGGACCGTTTGTTCCACATTTTTTCAACAAAAATGCATTTTAAACATCACATCATGGGTCCTACCTTAGAGTGTTGAAGTCAAATATTGTAGACTGATTTGATGAAAAAATGTATTATTTTCCCAAATAATATGCACCAAACGGGGGCTCAATATATCGAGAGCTTGCGCATTCTTGTCTTGGCATATGATAGCTTCTTGATAACTTGTAAATTATTGAGACAGTGGAAGTTTTGAGGGCAAAAAATGGGGATATTTGTGTTGGAATTTGGTGTGTACGTATAGTTTTAAATCAATGAATTTAATAAGGTTAATATTGTAATAAATATGGATGAATATAGTTTTTTTTTTTTTAATAATAAAATTTTAATAGGGATGAACTTTGAGTGGGATAGATATATAAAATTTGTGGATGTAAATATCAATACCCTATAATCACCCTAAGCTAAAACACAAATTATCTTTTAAACATAATTGTAATCGACAAATATTCTTATTCGTTGATCTATTCATTGTAGGAATCAGACCTGCTATTAATGTGGTTATCTCCATTTTTCATAGTAGGGTCTACAATTCAAATTAAAGCAATGAAACAAGTAGCTCGTAAATTAAAATTGAAACTGGCACAATTCGCTGAATTAGAAGCTTTTGGCGCATTTTGCTTCGGATCTCGACGAGAATACAAATTTGAATATATGCAATTGAATAATAATATATGTATCACAATTGTCTTTATTTGCATCAATCGAGTGCTTCATGTATTCTAATTTTGAACAAAATAATTGACGGGAATACAAATTTAAATTTATGCAATTGAATAATTATATTTGTATCATAATTTTCTTTATTTGCATCACATTTTATTTTTACTAAACATTTCTAGTATTTTTTTTTTAATATTTATGTTCTTAATTTATTTATTTATTTATTTTTTTGCTGCATTTTATATTAGCACATGATTACGAATCTCTGTCAAAATATGCTATTATCGGGCATTGAGATGTGAGATATTATTTTTTTTTTGTCAAAGTTTTATATTTATTATTTATTTTGATTATTTTAAAGTAAGTGAGTTAAATAAGTATTTCAGTCCTCTGGGCAAATTTTTGGGACGAAAACCATTGTACAAATAAATGCCGGACGTGCTAATTAATTAAACATTAACGGTGAGAACTTGACAAAAATAAAAATAAAAAAATGAAGAATAAGTGAGAAAATGATCAAAAGTTAGGGACACTTGTTACAACTAAAATATAGCTCCCGTTTGGCCATTATTTGATATTATAATTTTTGAAATTATTTTTTTAAAGAATATATGGTTAAAAAAAAGGAATTTTTTTTAATTTATGTGTAATATTATTTTATTAAAAAATGTGTAGTTAAAAAGAAAAAAGAGAAAACTGTACTATAAATTTAATGGATGTTCAAACAGGGTTTGACCCCTATTTTGTTGAAAAGAAAATGGGTGGAATAATATTTTTTTTTTAAAAAATAAGTGATTTAAAAGGAAAGAAAATTTTTCGACTTAAATATAATATTATTTTACATAAAATTGTGTGGTTAAAAATATGAAAGAAACAAATATAATATAATGAAATGAAAATTAATGGGGGTTAAGTAAAAATGAAATATAGCCCCTATTTGGCCTCCATTTTGGGAAAATGAAAATGGGTGAAATAATATTTTTTTGAAAAGTGAGTGATTGAAAAAGAAATTTATTTATTTATTTATGTATTATATTATTTTATGAAAAATTGTGTGGTTGAAAAATAGAAGAGAGAAAAATGAAATGTGATAGAATTGAAATTAATGGACCAGACATAGCCCCTGTTTGGCCCTCATTACGGGGAAAATTTAATGTATAGAATAGTGTTTTTTGAAAAATGAGTGGTTGAAAAAGAAAGAAAATTTTTTGATTTACGTGTAATATTATTTTATGAAAGATTGTGTGGTTAAAAATAGGAAAGAAAAAAATAGCATATAATGTAATGTAATGAAAATCAAACAGGTCATAATATGAAAGAGAAAAATGGTTAGAAGTTGGTATTCATTTGTCAAGGAGAACGACTTTCGACCTTTTGACCTTTTGATGGGGTATCTCACACTC